TTATGAAATTATAATATTTTCAAAATTAGAGCTTTAACTACTAACATATATTCACCACTTGGGGTAATTTCTGATGAGCTATAGAAAATTCTGTACGGATAACAGATGAAATATATCATTGTTACACTAATTTACCAGTTAGATCTCGCTGGGTTCAGTATCGAAATCATAAATAAAATGTTTAATAATATGTTTATAATACAAAATGTTTACGAGTAATACAATTAAAAATCAAGATAGAAATTTAAGTAAATTGTATAGTTACACTTATTTTACAATTTTATTGTTCTGTTAATTTTCACAACATCAACCACATGGGGTATAATACGATGGGAGGTATAAAAGAGTGTTCTTGTACTATTTTTTTTTGATCAGAAAATTAGGGATTTGATACAGTTCGNAACCACATGGACATCAACCACATGGGGTATAATACGATGGGAGGTATAAAAGAGTGTTCTTGTACTATTTTTTTTGATCAGAAAATTAGGGATTTGATACAGTTCGATAATCTAGAATCTCAAAATCCGGAATTTGATGATTTATTTATAGTCGGTATGTTAGATTTAATAACATTTATTTTGGATTCTTCTAGATATTTTTAACTCAAAATATACTCATAACTATTTAATTTCAATTGGCAACTCAAAATTCTTAAATTCGTGAGTCCAAAAACTGGATTTTTTGGACTATCAAATTGTTCGGATTTATTTCACATCACTAATTATTCATACTACTCTGAAAATACGTGAATTTTATTTAAGATTAGTTTAAATAGTTTAATAAAATAACGTATAGGTAGTTATTTCGTTATCTTCGTAAATACCTAACATATTTGAACCAGTTAACTTTAAATGTTACAGTAGTTAGTTCCTCTCGAATCATTAAATAATCAAAATATACCACTTACATGTTATTGATATTGAATATATCAGCATTAGGTATAACCAAGTGTTCATATTTGAAGGCTCTATGAGAAGAATATGTTATATTATTTTATAAGTTATAACTTTAATCTTATAAACAATTGAGCGCCAGTTAATATGCGATAAAGTGAAATATGAATTGGTATATACACGATCAGGAAACGAAATGAAGTGTCGAATATTGAATATAATCAAATGATAGTTACGATTTATGTGTATAACTGACGATGACATCACTGAAAAATATATTACGTTAATGCAATATAGTTTACAGTAATGCCTAACTTTAATCACTCATTAAACAGTACCTACTGACCTTTTTATTGTTTACTCAATTTTTTATAGGTCAAAAAAAAATGCATAACATAAAATAATTACACATAAGTCACACACTATTTGAACTTGTTTGTGATTAATAATGTATTTAATTATTTATCGTATGGCATATTTTGACACATAATATACGTAAAAAGTTGTAACATGGAATAAAAAACTAAAAAAAAAAAAATAAAAATAATGGAATTAAATAAAATAATCTATGTAATAAATAGTCCATATAAAAATGATAATAATATAACAATATCTATTG